CCCCCCCCCCCCCCCCCCCCCCCCCCAAATAAACAACGGTCAGGTTATTAATAGCATTGCGTACGAAGAGCTAATGTTTCTAACGTCTTTACCGCTACAGATAGAGAAGCCAACTATTCGCGCAGCAACGTTGAGCGGATGTGTTAACTAAAATCATGCTCTTAATACCAAACTTTCACGCGACTTTAATTTACAAAAAGCATTCACTCTTTTTTTTTACGCTTTGGGGTAATCGCAAGACGAAACTTTTGCTTAATGCAATACTAAACGCGGGAGACTAGATAAACGATTTTTTTGTTTTTTTTTTTTTTTTGTTAATATTTCTTTAAAAGAAGAAATATATTAAAGATGAATGCGTTGGTGTGTCATTAAACGCTTATTATTATTTAAAGGCATCTTCTTCATTTGTTTTGTTATTTACATATATATTTGTTAAATTTTGTTTTGTTTAAGTTAATCTCAATCTGCAGTGCATTAACTTTGTATGTATGTATTTTATATATTTACTTTACATTTATAGTTACATAGTTCAATTGTTAGCTTTACGATTGCTTTCACTCACACAAACAAATGCGCAATCTCATTCAATAACAGTGAATTCATTGAACAGGTTGTGCGTTTCATACATCAAAACAAGAATAATAAAAGTTACTGTGCATGGTATTTCCTTCAAGTTGTTAGCTCACATTGGAACGAAAAAAAAAAAAAAAAAAACGTAAAAGAAAAACCATAAAAAAAAATAAATAAATAACTGGTTGACATGACAGTTGCAATGTTCAAATAATAATGATGAAATACTAATGGCTAACAACAGAAAACCGACCAGACACAACAAGCAATAAACAAACTACACCATATATGTATACGTAGAAATTGATCGCTGGGCCAGCATATCGTGCTTGCTGCAACTAGATAAGGAAAAGAAAAATGAAAAAGAGACTTTTTATTATTTATGTGTTTTTGTGGGTGGATGTGGGTGTAACAATTTTTTATGCATTTATATATATATATTGGCAACATTTATGCTAAACATTATGAATATCATTTGTCTCACAGTGTTAAACGAAGGATATGACTGATTACGTTTCATCATAAAACAAATCGCATGAGCTTATGATATACATCATTAGTTATCAACATGCAAACAGTTACAAATAAACAAACTAATTAAATAATTCGTGAAATATTTTTACAATACCATGCACTTGACTGTAATCTCTGGTGTCTATCTTCATTAAATTCATTGTTTGGTTTATAAATAAATATTACATCTTCTTACATTTTACTTTATCGCTGTTAGTTGAATATAATAATAGTTTACGGTTATTATAAATATTAATTAAGCCATTCTAACCGTCTTCTTTTTTCTTTTGTTGTTTTTTTTTTTCTGTTTTTTTTTCTTTGTTCTCCTGAACTTTAATAGAATATAATTTTCAGTTCATTTCCCACAAATTTCAATATAGAGTCAATCACTCAGTCAGTCATTCAACAGATTAAGAGAAACCAGAATATTCTTCTAAATGCAAATATCATATAGGAAAAATAGTTTCCATTTTATTATACCCTACATCATTTACGGTATAGGGTATATTAAGTTTAAATGAACATATGCAACGTGCAGTAACGTTTAAGATAGCGCCTGATAATTCTGAATCGATCTAAGCCTGTCTGTCCATCTGTCCGGCTATCGATTTGATGTCTGGCCATATCAAGTTGTATTCAATCTATAGATCGAAATATTTCGAAATATTATGGTGAAATTTAATGTACTAACGTATTCTGAGCGAAGGACGAAACGTATTAAAAATGATTCGAATCGGTCCACAATTTTCGGGCTTGCATCAAAGCAAGTCAATGTTATCAAATTTCATCGAAATATCTCAGAAATTGCGATCAGTAACTTAAACACAAAAATAAATGGACAGACATCAGACGGACGGACAAACTTAGAATTCGATCGGTATCATGAAAAGTGAGTCTATCTTAAGCCCTTTTGAGTGTTGCATGCGTCCGCACAACCCTAATATATCTTGTACGACAAGAGGTATACGGTGTTAACCTGAATTAAGTCAATTTTTTTAATTTATTTGGGGAAAACGCAACAACTACACCAAATAAACAGATAAAACAAACAACCAATCAGCCCCACTTCCCTTTTATAAAACACCTTAAGCTTCCGCAAGCGATCATAACATAAACATATGGCTTTATTTACATATACGGCTATTATTAAATACAAAAAATACATTTAAAAACCCATATAACTAATCACGCAACTGGAACCAATCTTTTTTTTTTTTTTTTTTTTTTTGCTTTTGGTTTTTCTTTCATAAAACTTCCGTAATGCATTTAACACCACTTTTTCTTTCTCAACTCTTTCGACTAAACTTTTTTTTTCGTTTTTTTTTTTTTTTCAAATATAAACAAATAACGACACTGTAATGGACCACGACCCACCATTAAAGACCTTACACCATTTCGCTCAATGCAATTATACGCAAAGCGTCTCTTCAAAATAATGCCTTATAGAATTAAATTAATCCAATCTGAGATATTGTCAATGGCGAGGAAAAAAATAACGTCAGTGTATCAAATTTCATCAAAAATATTTTAAAAATGAATGTGTGTAGAAAAGAGGACGAACAGGCGGATGGATGGACAAATGTAGAAAGCGATTATGAATCGATTGACATAATAAAAGATGAATCTGTGTGTGTTAAGTCCATCTGGGTATCGCATACGTACGCGCAAACTTAATATACCTATATATCAGAAGTGAAGGAGGATATGAAGATATGTGTATAGGCTGACTGACTATGTCTCTCTAAGTTTCAGTTAACTTACGGTGCCTTTTATTTGTTTAATATGTTTTTTTTTGTTTTTTTTTTTTTTCAATATGTGGAGAGTCGAAGCGTAGCTTCTTTACGCTCACTATAGCACCTCTTAGTGCGTGCATAATAATTAAGTAAGGCATGAGTGCATTTTAAGTTTATTGGCTATTTTTCTTCTTCTTCTTCTTCTTCTTCTTCTTCTTCTTCTTCTTCTTCTTCTTCCACCTTCTTCTTTATTTATTTATTTATTTTTTTTTTTTATTTTGCTTTATGAATTACTCGATTAAAAAAAGTACCGTTATCTATGGCTAACACTTAAACATTGAAATTGTGTCATAAAAACACTCAAAATCATGATCAATTGCAAGCAAAATGAATAATTTAACAAAATTGAATTGCAATCACTCAGTTGTAACATTACAATAATAAATGTCGATTGACTAAATAAATGTATATGCACATATGCACATATACACATATACACTTGTTGATATTTCGAATTTATAATGCAGCACAAAATTTATTGCTTAAGTCTTTCGTTTTCGTTTTCTTCTTCTTCTTCTTCTTTTTTTTTTTTTTTTTTTCTTTTTTCCATATAGATTGATTTAAAAATCCTAACTACAAAGCAGGCCGTTACTATGAAAAGCTTTCAAAATAATAGGAAGAAAAAACAATTGCCTGCACTTACATAAAAAACAAAAATTTTATTTTTTAATCATTATTATAGTTTATACTGAGTGTAAAGAGTAAATAAAAAAGATTGATTAATATATATATATATATATATATATATATATGTAGGTCACTTACTATACTTGTAATTAACTTAAGAGTTATTTAGGCTAACAATCACTGGGGATTTAGATTGTTGGTAAAGGAAAAAAGACGAAAAAACCAAAAAAAAAAAAAAATGAACATTTTTTGTTTTTGTATCCATTATTTGCAAATTTGTTTTTTTGTTTTTTTTTTTGTTTTTAGTGTGTTTTCTATTAGTCAAGCGTAACTTCAACAATGATTTAGTTGTGCTTAAGAAAGTCAGTTGATTTCAATTTATGTCAACGTTAACGAGGAATAACAAATCATGTCGAATTCTGCAAGTTTGTGTGTGTATCACTCACTGTGTGACACTTTTTCAGCTATCAACAACACGTCTACACAGTGTTGAATTTATATTTTTAAAATAAGTAAAAACACTATAGTGGGGCAGAGGCAACCGTTAAATACCCTACACCGTCTTGCGACTTATCCAAGCCAAGGCGTTAAGGAGCGGAATCACCGAAAAAGTGTATCCTCTGCGACCTATAGATTGTGAGACAAGAAGACAAGACAGATAGACGGATCGATGAGCTTAGATCGATCCGTATAATGAAAGAGATGCGAGTCTATCTCAATTCCGCCTGAATGTTGCATACGTCCGCAGAAAACTTAATGAACCTTATTATCATAAGTTGTGTATATAGAGAAAAAAAATAAATAAATTACATAATAATAATAATAATAATAATGAGGAAAATAATTAATAATTTTAAAAACAAATCAAGTATATTTTTTTTAATTTTTTTTTCATTTTACCTAAATATTCACTTGACTTTTAAGACATTATTATTGTTATTGTTGTTGTTGTTGTTACAATAAATGAAAAAAAATATATATAAGCGAAACAAAATGTGAAATAGGATCTCACGCGCGCTTTAATATCTATGTTAGTTATAATTTATCTATCTACCTAAAGTGAAATTGAGCTGAAAAGCTGAAGACTTTCACATGTAAATCTACTTTTCCATTCTTTTCCGTTTTGCGAACATCGTGATAGCGGAATTGGAATTCAAATTAAATTTAATGTTTCACCTCTATGCCTAACAACAATGCCCTTGTGACCTAAATAAACAGAGCAAAATACTCTACGCTACGCTGTACGCGATTCTCCGTATAATGAATAAAAACCCATAGCAATCATTTGATTATGTCTGAAAATGTATAGAAAAGTTAATTAACCATAATGGTAAAGTTGGCAAACGTGTCATAATCATATAAGGCACACTTTTTTTCTGTTTCATTTCTTTTATTTCGCTTATTTTGTTTTGTTTTGTTTTCTTCTTTTTTTTTTAATTTTTATTTTTAGCTTTTAGAAACACATCAATATAAAATGAGAATAAGTATGCAGCCGAGTTGAGCGGACAGCATGCTAGTCTTAGTCTAATGCTAATAAAATTTTATATTAAGAACATTGAAATGAAAATTGATTGCCATTAATATCGATTGGAAAAAGTAAATTCCAATCAGAGAAAGTATTATACGAATCGGATGCGAACAAGTAAAAACACAATAATAATATACGGGCCCTCTATTAAATGCCCAACATTATTTCGCGTTAATACAATTAATTATTCATATGCACTACACAAAACAAGCCCCTATATGGGCAGTGATCGGAAAAAGTGCTCCGATCCGAACACATCAAAAGTTAAGTTGAACAACATTGCTTGAACACAAGCAAAAAGATAGTTAGTTAGATAAGCTTAGATCAATTTAGAAAGTAACTCTGATGGATATATCTCAAGTTCTTCTGCCTACGTGTTACATACGTCCGTACAAAAAAACTGTAACAAGCCGATGTACAACAACACATATAAGGTATAAAAACCAATTATGAAAAAACACTTTTTTTTTTCTCCTCTTCAAATGAATATTTGACATTTATTTATTAATTTAGCCCTAGCGAATTACCAAACAGAATTAGAGTTTTTCATATGTCACGACTTTACAAAAAAGGTTTACTAAATAGACGCGATAACCGCCAAAAGCAGGGAAGTATATTTATTGTTGCCCAGAAAGAAAGTTCCAGATGTACTATGCAGTACGCTTTTCTAACCCTTTTGCCTTAAGTGAAATATTCACGAATGCCTGC